AGCCCAGACCAAGACAACTGCTTCTGTTCCTACCCCAGCTATAAAGATCACCCAGATTGGTCACAGCTGCCATATGGCTTAAGCCGCAGGAGACGGACTCCACGCAAGAGTCCGGATTGAAGTCGTTATTTCCGAAAAGTTGAACTGGTAATTCTAATGGAGTTTCGCTGACTTGCACTTCTGGACCAGAGCCTAGTAACCCGAATCCCCAGACGAACACTCTACCATCCTCTGAAAATATAAAACAATTATCCTACAGGATCATGCATTGATTGTTAATCATTACCATTAACGATCAAGCAAAAAGATCCACCTGTCGAAATATCCTTAATCTTTCCTAAACCAGTCAGCATTTTCATTGAAATTGGGTTACATATTTGCTGGGAACCATCAGGCAATGTTATTTGTTTATACTCAGTGTTTCCCCAACCAAACACTTCGCCTTTGTCTAAGGAAAAAAGGCATTTATTTTGTTATTTTATTAAAGATTTATATTACCATTCAATGCAAGTACAAAGTCAGACCTGCAGGCGACTTTAATGATTTTCTCTTGTGCTATGTCTCCAAGAACTTTTGTAAATTTTGCTTCAACTTTGTAATGTCCTAAACCGGTTTGCCCATCGGCACCCCAACCGCAAGAGTAAACGCTGCCATCGCTTAAAATCACCAGCCTTCAATAAAATCTTCAATTACCAAAACATGTAACTGTACCAATACTTATATAATTACGTATGATCTTGGCCGCACTCGACATCGACGATCTTCTTCCCATCGATGTCTCGTATACAATCATAGCATTTATTTCTACTGTAATCTTCATTTTCCACGATTATTCTACCACATTGACCGTACGAATTGTTGCCGAACATGAATAAACCCTCGGTTGTTAATGCAGCTGCATGTGCCCTACCCGCTGATACTTTCATTATTTCAGTATTTTCATTCAGAGGTAAACGAATTGGAAGTGGTATAAAGATAATGCCTAAGGGTTTATCTGTCCTTATTTCATGATAACCAATTTGGGAATCAGTATTTAAACCTGTACCAAATACCTGTTTCTTAGTTGCAAACAAAGTGAAACCAAAACCTGAGGCTGCTGAAATTATCTTTAAAAAAATAATGAATGAATACCAATAAATACTGTATATTTCTACATATAGTTAAGCATTAAAGAAATATAACTATACCTCATTCATTTCAGCAAAATGTAATCTCTTGGGACTCTGTAAATATTCCACACGTTGTGTGTTCTCTTTACTTTTGGTCTTTTGTATACCTAGAGCTCCAGTCCTGGCATCTCCCCACACATAGATGCGATTCCTATTGTGGTCCGAAACCACATATTGGAAAACTTGAATTATAATTAATAAAAATGCAAATGAAACTTATTGCACACTTTACCTGATACTTCCTCAGCATGCTTAGGATCTAATGGGAATTTCCTTTTCACTGAATACTGTCTGTTAATTAGTTTAAAGGCATTTATAACTTTCCTAGCAGTCATCTTTGAGGTTGTGTTGAGTTTTGTATGCTTGTTTACTTCTTAAACCCAAGTTAATCCAGCACCTTGGATTAAGTTAGATAACATCAAAACAATTGCAAAACGTTACAAACAGTTCCGAGAAGTTGTCAGTTTTGGTTCAGTTTCAGTGTCGTTTTTGTATTATTCTCAGTTCCTTCAAGTAGGACTTTATGAAGAAGTAGCATAGAATTGAAGATGAGTTCTGAAGTAGAATGGCCATGGCAGTACAATTTTCCACCTTTTTTCACGTAAGATTTACATTACCGATTAGTAGAATGCAATTAACAATTTAAAATTTTTAGGTTACAACCTCACAAAGAAACAAGAGTTAAACAAATTACTGCATGGAAAGCCCTGATTTTAGATTACTGTGGGGTGAATAAAATATGTAGTATAGATTTAAGAGAAACCAATGAGATGTCTTTATTTACAAATGCTGCAATCAATCGAACCTTAGAATCAAGTGCATTATTAGTAATTTTAGAAGAGTTACAAAACTCAGGAAATGCTATTCCAATGGACAAGCAAAGGCAGAGATGGGAGATATACTGGCACACTCTCGAAGAGTTTAGCCAGATAATCTACAATTATGTGATGAATAGCAATAGTTTGGATATGGTGCTTACAATTTTTGAATTAACAGAAAGTGATGATGTTGCTAATGAAGGTATATAAATATGCAAAATTTAATTTCAATCCAATCTAATCAATGTTGTTTTTTTTTTCAGAATTTTATAAACTTAACAGTGATGTGTTCATTAAAGTCCTAAGAGTTTTGGAGAAAGATAATAAATGCGAACTTATATTACTAGAAGATAGTCAAGGGGTAAAGTTCTTTTAACATGCCACAAATATTTGCATTTGCAATCATATATTGAAACAAACCTGCTGTAATAATAATGCCTTAGCAAGAATATTTATGACATGTTATTTATAATAAATATGTAGTTTTTCAAGTAATTGACCTTTTATTCAACATAATTAAGGGTTCTGTGGAATGTAATACAATTTTGTGGTGCTGAAAATATTCCAATGCGAAATAAATATTTATACATATATAGATTTATATATATGGCAGTTTTGTAAATTTTAATAAATTAGTAAATGATTCGTCATAATTATTTGATTATACATGTGTGATTGTGTGTATGTACGTATGAATAGTGTACCTTAAATAAAAAATAAAATATATGTAAAGGGCCAAATTGCAATTTGCATATATTTAAGTAAAACAAAATTAAAATAAAATTATCACAAATAAATACAGATACTATTAGCATCAATACTAATCAAAAGAAAGTGTTTTTGATTTTCTTCTTTTTTCGTATATATATATATAAATATATATATAATCTTCGTTCATTGTTTTCTCTATTTTCAAATAAATAAATAAAGGGTAGAATATTCTATAAATTATACACTATCGTAACCATCCATCACAAGGGAACATTGCAATATATCGGTTCGTGTGACACACACGTTGAAATACAATCGAAATTAAAGCTGCCAAAATGTAATATACAACGAAAGAACATGTTGCGCGCAGTCGATCCACCTCAAAATATAAGAGAAAGATAGCCATTGCAGCAGACGAACTTGTTATTCTTTTAGTTGAGTGTTTTCTTTTACTTTTTGAATTCGCTATTTCCGGGATCGGCTTTGATCATCGATAAATTACTGCGACTACCGAGAAGAACTAATTTGTATCTAAGATTGTAAGTAATGTAAGTTAAGTTTATTACAACATTCTTCATTAAACTTCTAAGTAAAAAATTCTGTACATTTTTAATATATGTACAATATATACATTTTACAAATATAATGCAAAACATCATTTATTTATTATCAGTTCGAAAGATGTTGCCTTTTGTTTTGTTTCTTTCATCAAATTCGTCACTTCTTTTTCATTTTATGCTTCTTTTTTAATGTACGACGATGCTGCCGGCATCTTAAACATGTATATATGTGATCTAAAAATCCTTCTATTCAAAATAAACGTATCTTCTATTATATATATATATTTATATATTGGAAGGAAATCATCTTTCCCGTGATATATCCAACGTTAAGAGTTGCAGGAGATTATAAAAATAAACATCGTCGTTTCTCTTTACACCAACGATGCATGTTCAAATATATATAAACTATGAAAACTACATCTAGATTTCTTGTTTTTTACATTATGTACATATGCACGCTTTCGCTTCTTCGTTTTGAAAATTGTATGTGTGTGTTCCTTCTTGTTTTTTAATTTGCATGTACAACTTACATCACACTTGATTTCTGAGAATCCATGTTTTTAAGAATATCACCTAATATGTCGATAGAACCGGACGAACGCGGTTTCCGAACTTTATGTGTTTTTTTCTCGGTGTTCTCGCTAATGTTGCAACTTGTTGAAGGCGGGGCGACGGTAGGAGGAGGTTCCGTTGGTGGAGTGACCAATGACATAGGACTTGTTTTCGTGGAGGGTGGTAACGGTACCGGACTGCTTTTCATATACATCGATGAAGACGGCGTCGACGTGGAAACAGCGCTTCCTCTTGACGCGTCTTGCTGCTTCGCTGGATCACTCACAACAGTCTTAACGTCACCACTGCCACTCTTCTTATCCTTTTCCCTGCTCCTGTCTGAACGCCGATGCTTATGAGATTTGCGACTATCGGAATGCTTTCGGTCGTGTCGCGATTTCTCCTTGTCGCGTTCCTTATCCTTATCCCGGCTGTGATGTTTATGTGGATGGTGCTTATCTCTGTCTCTTTCGCGATGTTTATCGTGGTGTCTGCTATCTTTCTCGTCCCGCTTATGCTTATCACTTCGATGCTTCTTATGTTCTTTTTTAGATTTATCCTTAGAGTCGCGATGCTTGTCCTTCTTGTCGTCTTCCTTCTTTTCCACCTTCCTATCGTCTTCCTTCTTTTCTACCTTCCTATCATCTTCGTTCTTTTCCACCTTCTTATCGTCTTCCCTCTTTTCCACCTTCCTATCGTCTTCCTTCTTTTCCACCTTCCTCTCGTCTTCCTTCTTTTCCACCTTCTTGTCGTCTTCCTTCTTTTCAACCTTTTTGTCGACCAACTCCTTCGATTTCACAGCCTCCTCTTGTTTCTTCTCCACTTTCTTCTCTATCTTTCGCTCGATATGTTCAATCTTCGGAACATGATGGTGTTTCGGTTTCTCGGTAGCCGGCGTCGAATGTGTAACCGTGTGCGTGCGAGCCGGTTTCTTCTCCACCTCCTCGATATCTTCATAGTACTGGCTTAATCTCACATGCCATGCTGCAAAGTAAAATAAAATTAGTAGATATCTGATATAAAAGAACTACTATTAACTACATACCGACACTTGTGACGGCGGTCACCGTCCTGAACTGGTGTATAATATTCCTTGGAAGGAAATAGATATCATTATCGTACAAATTAATCCTAGCATACTTGATGCCATCCCTTCGTAACTGGTTGAGCTTGGCATCTTCAATCCAAGTCACACACTGGAAATGATAACATTAACCTCCATCCATATACATATTACTAAAACTTACTTGAGATATCGGAGGCTCGTGCAGGTCCAGCTGTAGCTTTTCGGATAGAGTATCGAAATCCTTGGCATCGAAGGCAACAACATCTTTGGTGATCCTATTTATCTCGCCTTCACTTTGTCCACCGTGTATTGCTTTAAGAATGCCCACAGCTGCCGTAGTCTTTCTATCCAAACCATGGCCGACGTGATCAGCGTGAGCTTTTGTTCTGTCTTCGAATAAATGTTCTCTAGCTTCTGACAATCTTGGCAAATATTGCAGATTGCGTAATTCGTTGATACCAGTTCTTAAATTATAATATACGTTGAGTAAAGAAAGTAGTATTGCGAAATAAACCTGTATACCGTCTCCTCTTGAGTGGTGATCTCCCGTCCACCGTAGGAACTAGCTGTTCCCCAGGTCGACACCATAATATTGGTCCATCGTTCGACTCTTCCCGCTTCATGTGCACCACTGAGAGTTCACCCCACGGCATTGTCTGAAAGACATCCCTCAATATATAAAAATAATGTGTCTACATAATTGAATACATACCATATCCAGGAAAGGATTTTCCTCGAGGATGTCTAAAAGATCAGGAAAATACCCGCCCACTTCCTCATGGGCAGTTCCAACTAAACTTATTTGGTGTAGTGGTCCATACCTGACGGTGCCACTTTCATAATGTTTTTTCACATTATCGTTGTAGACAGACAACGTCGTCGTTTCTAAATCTGAAGTTCGATTCAACAAACCGTTTTTCACGGTTAAAGAAGGATATTTATCTGCCATGTAATCCAGTAAATCTGGTAGTTTGGATCCTGAACCGTGGACGATGGCCATCACGTAAATAGCGCGTTTGTTAGAGTCTTCGGCAAAAGCTATTTTGAAAAATTCCGTCGCCAACTCACGAGTCGTCGATTCGTCTAAATGTTTGATTTCTTCCTGGTACATGTGTAACACAAGCGCACCACCATTTGTATGTTTTTCCACATGATAGTATTTTCGAAATTTAAGTTTTGACTATAAATAAAATATAATTTAAAACTTATAATTTAAACTCGTCGTACGAAACTTACGTTACTTGGTGGGTGGCTATAATTACCACTAGTCAACAAAATAGGTCTGGGATCCTTAAAATCCTTGGATCCTTTAATAGTGGATTTTGGTTTCCGTCTATCATGCCTAGAAGATCTGTGAGTCTTCGATCTCTCATCTTTATTTAAAATGATTTTCTTCAATTTAGAGAAGTCTAATTTTTGTAGCTTTGAACTTGTCTCACAGTCTGCTGAACGTGGCCTCTTAATTCCTTGACCAGAGACAGCAGGTTTTTCATCAGTATTCCAAACAACACACTCTACTGACCGAGTCCTCTTCCTAGGTGAGTCACTATTGCTGCTAAACTCTGAACTTGATGATAGAGCAAAAAACTTAGTTTGTTCCTCAATGGCAGTTAATAGTTCCAAGCCCTGCTTGCCTTCTAACTTATTGTAATCCAATTCCTCAGTCAAGTTATTTTTCACTTTGACTAAAGGTGAGTTACACTCATTGAGCTTAATCTTCTTTTTATTCTCTTTTCCCTCACCATCATCCCCACTTGTGCCATTCACAATTTTCAAATGAATCTTCTCCTCTTTAACATTATTGTTAAGGTTATCTGAACGATCCTCCAAGATTGAGTCCTGCTCCACCTTCACACTGTTCACTGGTGTTGTTATCTCTAAGTGATTGTCTCCATTGGTGTGGCTTGTAATTCCACTATCATATGGGCACTTACATACTGCCGGAGAGACCATATCATGACTGATAAAACCCAAGTCTTGATCAGTTGTTGGACCTACAAAGAAGAGTAAATACGCGATATTGCAGGTGTGTGTATAAATCTGCATTGCTTGCTACCAGTTGCGAGTGCGGTCCATTGTACCAGCATGGTTCTTGCAATTGTTTACAAATATGAGGAAGAGGACTTACCATCGGACCCGTTGACACCATTCCTGAGGATCGGTAGGTCGCACTCGCAGACGGCTACACTCCGACAACACTTGAAGCATTTCTTCTCCACTGTTTTGGAGTCTTTAAAAACACACGATTCACTGACTACCAGCTTTTCTCCAGGTGGACCTTCCTGATCCTCCTCGGACGCCATTGCACATCACGCCAGAGCCAAAAGCCCGGGTAACCAAGTCTCTTCCGAATTTTGAAAGATCTCGTTCGATTTACTGCTGTCCTCCACACTGCGAACACTCCATTACTATCACATCGCCGTTTTACACGCTTTACACTACGATAATCTTTACAATACGCAGTATGAATAGATCAAAAGACTAACAACACTACTCTTGCCGCCATGTTTATACCCGGTACGAAACTTTATCCATAGACGTTCACCCCTTTCATTAAAAATAACCACCTACCATCCTGAATCCTGATCACACTACACCTTCATTCTCACAACAATCTAATTCGCAACTTGCTCCTTCGAAGGACCAACCAGGACCAACTATATAACAATGGACCTTAGTTTTCCAACATCGCTTATTCAAATTGGAACCATAGCACATCTACGCCACTGGAAACCAAGCTTCCAGTACCAACCCAATAAAAACGAAAACCTTTTGAATCTAATAATTGAAGCGTAAAATTTTCGATTACACAACGCTCCTTATTACCTTTAAAAATACCTTACACTTTCGACGAATCGCCAACAGAGTTATTAATGTACACGAAACTTCATAAGTTCCAATCTCATTACGAGCATGACTCAGGTCACGTACACAAAATTCGAGCGGGAATTTTCAATTATTGTATATGTGTGGTAGGAAAGTCAATTGAAAGGGAATTAAATATTGAATAAAACTAACTTTTCATTAGTATTTCCATATATATATAATATATTCATTGAAATTTAAAATTTATTATACAATTACTATATCAATGCGAATATGATAACATTATGTAATTATATTTATTGGTTACGTGACATCTCATATGCGAGAACGAATGTTTTTAATAGGAAATAAAAATCCTTTCGTAATAGTTCAAGCGTTTGTTTCTCTCCTTAACTTAAGCACACAATTTGGCAAATTAATTATACATAATTAAAAAGAAAATACAATCTAAATTATAGTACTAAATCTAAGATTTAAATCTAATGCTGAATTGAACTTAAATTACAATTAAAAAAGATATATATGAATATAATTATACATATATATCCACAAGTCGTAAATTAATAGGTATTCCCTAAGAAATATTCATTTCTCAAACAACCAAAGAAAAATAAACGAAAAAAAAAAATTAAAATAGTAAAAACTTAACAATCATAATCTAAGTTTAATTGGTATGCAGTCACAAGATAGTCTTTATTGTTCAAAGTACCTGCTTTTAACATACTATCTCCATTTATTTCTTCTTTTTTTTTTTCGAATATTTTTATAGATGCATTTGAAAATACAAGAAATAGAACGTGATACACACATCGCCATGTGCCGAAAATTTGTTATTGTATAATCATATATATATATATATATTTATATGCGCCAAAGAAAAATAGTTCTTTACGATGATTTTGCTGTATTAGCACCCAGGAGACATAATTCTGTATCTTAATATAAGAGATAGAGAGAACAAAAATACATCACATACAGAATCGTAACTCAATCATCAAATTAAAGATACAAAGAAATTAATAGGCAAATTGTCGAGCTCATAGGAGATATCACCTTACATTTAAATACAGAAAAATAAGAATTTGCAACTTGAAATTAGTTCTGGACATAATGACTGCGGTCATATGCATTTTTTTTATTCAAATTAGTTGATAGAGAAATTTTCAAAAAAAAAAACAACAACAACAAACTATGGAAATTCGTAATATTTATCCTTTTTATTTTTATTTTTGTTCAATTACATACCTATAAGTATGTAATAAATTATTTGTGTAAAAAAAAGGAACACCAGAGTCTTAATACTTAAAATATATAACTGGGGAGAAATTATTGTAATATTGTAATGTTTATAATGTAAATTGGTACACTTAGATTTTCTTTCATTTAAAAACTGCATACTAAATATACACACATATCATATGTATACATATATTTAAATATATATATATATGTATACATAAATTTTCATATGGATCCCTGGTGTTGAGAATAACCGCACAAGTAAATTTATCAGTCAAGCACGTGAAAGTTTGTTTCATATACAATTCTCCACATTATTAGACCTCCAAGATTATGTGTGTGTGTTTGTTGTGTTTCGGTTATTAGCCCATGCAGTGATCGCTCAAATTATTTACATTATATTAAAAAGAAACACTGGATATACAGCAATTGAAACTTGAGTCAGTGGATTCGGTTCGTCATTATAAAATAATCGATAGTAAATACACATGAGACAACATGATTTGTAAAATCATTATCAGGCATATTTACAAACGTGATAGAGTTAACATGAAATTGATTCAAATATCTTTCTTTTCTTTTATATCAATAATCGTTTTACTGAGACGGCACCACATGAGCAATCGGTAACGCAGTTGTAGTTAACACTGACTAGCAACCTTCACCCATAAGGTACACAGTCTACAATCATCCACTACAAAATTGCTAATTTCTTAACTTTGCTTAATATTGTTTAATTATATCTTGGCTAGACTTTATGGGGAGAGTTTGTACCAATTTGAAGTAATTTTTTTGTTAAAAAGGAGATTTAATATTATACGAAGAAAAACCTGCTGATGTTAAGATTGAATTGGTTTGTTGAATTGTTGAGAAATACGTCTGGGCTTGCTTAACCAAGAGATGGGAAGTCACGCTCATCGTCGACTTTTGGTGCATGTTTAGCGTCGACCTTGTTGACATCCCCCTGAGAACAAACAACAGATAACCTCATGATTGTCAAGGAAAAGTGGACAGATAAAGAGAGATTGATGAGCGAAAGACACTTACAGTTTCCTCAGGACGATAACGGTTTCCACCGCCCTGGACAGGCTTTTCGCCGCCGCTAGGACCACCACCACCACCACCAGCGGCAGCAGCAGCAGCTTGACCACGACCACCACCACCACCCTCCCTGTTGTTGCGAGCTCCACGACCAGCGCGAGCTCCACGGCCGCGTCCAGCTCCACCCCGTCTGCTGTCGCTAAAGTGAAAGTCGATGCCAACCACGCGCTTTTGTCTGCCCACGCGTTGCGGGTATTCAGATGTATCATATTCTTCGTCATCAGTTTCCTACAACAAAAGAAATAACCAACGCTTAGAAATTGTACCAATCGCAATTCATACGCTACATCTACCGCTACACATTTCAAAGGCCAACCAATAGCATATGTGTATCTTTGAAACATCATTGCAAGTAATATTCGAATCTTACCTCTTCTTCGCCATCCTTCTTCTTGCTGAGTTCATACATCTTCTTCCATTGGCTAGGATCCTCACCCTCGCCGGCCTTGCGCAAATTGTATGTAGGCTTTTGACGTCCAGCACGCTGTGCTTTCCATTCATCCAGAGTCAATTCTTTTGGTTCTTCCTCAACAGGTACATTCTCAGTTTCGTTTTCAGTTTCCCTAAACAAAAATAATATAAATAAATCAAATAAAAACATTTTCCGAGAAATAATTACTTTTGTTCAGCATTGATGGATGTTTCGGCCTTTTCATTTTCGCTCCAGACTTGTTCGGTTTCAGTAGATTTGTTAGCATCAGCTTCCCTGAAAAAAAAAAAGAAAAAAAATTAGAAATGCGTCATTGAGAGCGCGGGGTCCGAGGACTTACTCAATGACGTCCTTATGAGATCCCCAGTTGTGGGCACCACCACCATCTCTCTTATCAATTGGTTTGACTCCTCTGTAACCATGCCTGCTTTCATTATTTGAGTAAGGAGCAAAATAACCCACAGACACAATTAGTTTAAACAACCCAACATAACAAGAGAAGAAGAATAGAGAATAAAAGAAGAAGAAGAAAGATGCTTGCTAAGAGCGTTGATGATGGTATTCACTTACGTTTTATCAGATCCGCTTTGCCTCTCGAATTCACGCTTGCCTCGTCTCGGCGCAACGCCGCCACGACCGGCGGTTTTGCTACCTACAGCGCGTCCTCTCCTATTGTCGAAGTCGCCCTCCCTTCTTGGTCTGTCCTCACTGCAAGATAAGGAAGAGAAAGAATTAGCATCATCGACTTTGGTTCATCATGGAGGAAAAGCACATGGCCGGTCCAGTCACATGGCGAAACAACCATGGCTGACAAAATATATATATATACGCACCGATTGTTTTCGAAATTTCCATTGAAAGGCCTGTCCTCGCGGTTGCGTCTATTGTTCCTCTCCTCTCGGTTCTCATTGTTGAATTTATTAAATGTCTTTTCAGTTTTGTTGTCAGTGGATCGTTGATGATTGAGCTTGCCGTCTGTAATGGAGGAAGTAGTCGATTAGGGTTGAATAGAATGGAACATTGAGATGGTTAGTGATGAATAGCTATGATGATTAAGTAAGGACGCAATGAGCACATGTGCCCGAATGCCGCTTTCAAGAATGGCCGTCGAGGTCGCGGTTCCTCATATTATTTCTTTTTTTTTTCGGGTTCCTGTAATGCCGCGCTTGGGATTCGGGGCTGCAAATTCTCACCTTCACGCTTGTTGTCCTGGGCCTTGTGGGGCACGTCCTTGATGATCTTCTTCGGTGGCTGCGTGGGTTTACCCTTGGCAGGCGCCTCCGGCTTCCCCTTGTTTTCCTTTTCGACCACTTTGGTTTTCCTTTTCAGCTCCTTCTCCTGCTCCTTTATCTGGAGAGTTTCCAGCGGATCCGTCTCGTTGTCCAGAAAAAGGCTATACCTATTGGCCGTACCGATTCCATATACGTTTTCCATGATGAACAATCACGGTTTAACTCTTCGCAACTAGACGATGTTGGAAGATTTCTTTATGGCTACGCTTTAGCCCTATGTTTTCACGCACTCATTCACAGCAATATGGCCGGCTCCGTGTGCCGCACGAGGGTTATCCCTAGCGCACGGCGCTCCGCGCAAATCCAACGGGGCGCATGCTCGGGGCGCCTGAAATAAATGCGCAACTGCGTGTTCCTGCCGCCCCCGGGTCGTTCAACAAGGGAACATAGGAAACACGTGAAAAAGCAACAAAAAAAGAAGAAGAAGAAGTAGTAGAAGTAGAGGGAAACCGGCACCTCGGGCCCCCTTTTTGTGCCGCCATAGCGCGCTGATCACGACCAGGGGGAATAAAAAGAAAGGAACAAAACCGTTACAAACGGCTTGGCTCGATCGATGCTTCTTTTTTTTCTTCAAAAAATACACGAATTTCATCCTTACATAACCGATAAGGCTAGAAGCAACCTCCGCAAAATCGTGTCGGAGCGCGGCTAAATTTAGCGGTCGCCGTATATTTTTAGAAACAATTTCCCGATATCGAAGGAATTCTGTGACTGGGTTGGTTATGTAGTAAAAACAGATTTTGCATAGTTAACAAAATTTAATTGCGATAAATATTTGTTATTTACAGTTCAATTTATTTGTTTCTTTCGCCTACGCCATACAAAATACGATGTATACATTATATATTTCATTCTTACTACCACAATTATTCAACTTATATGCGTATGTAAACGCATGTATTTTTCATACCGCTTCTGTCATCATACCGAACATATTTTTATATAAACGAACAATATGGACAAATATATTTAATTCGATTTCTTTATAAACAACACATCGTGACCACATTGCTTACATCATAGAAACGATACACAAAATTCCTCTAATATGGCCAAGCTTCGCAAACATCCTATTTACAACTCATACAATATTTGCACTTAAATCTACTAAAGTAATATAAACTTAAAATACTTCCAAAGACAAATAATATTTAAAAAAAAAAACAAGAAACAGATATACTTCCTCATTATTATTAGAAAATAAAGTACAAGTTAAATAAAATGATACATTTGCATTCAAATGATTGGAAAACGGAATCATATATGAAAAAAACATTTGCAAAATTCTCATTATAATTAAAATTATTATTATTGTTTGTTTACAATTTATAAGCAATGTATATTCATAATCTTTATTATATAATATATTTATATATATATATATATATATGTATATATATATTCTTCAAATTATGGGTAAAATAGATAGGGAAAAAAATAGGAGAAATAATGAATAAAATTAAGAAGAACGTTAAAGATCCCATTATCCTACAAAACACAAATAATAATTAGATATTCTTTTGAATCCAATTAGTATAAACATGATAATATACATAGCAGAAGAAAAAAAAAACAACTGTTCTC